CAGTGGCCAGAAATACCAGTGCCATCAGGAGGTCCACCAGTGGGGCCAGGACATTAGAAGCCCTCCCACCGTTGACCCCCCCAAGCACCAAGATGACAGAGCATCACTTGTCCCAGAGTCCCTATCTATACCTTGTGGCTAATAGCCACTGATGGACCTCTGCTCCATATGCTTATCTAATTCCCTTTTGAAGCCGTCCATGCTTGTAGCTGCCACCACTTCCTGTGGCAGTGAATTCCAAGTGTTAATCACTCTTTGGGTGAAGAAGTACTTCCTTTTATCCGTTCTAACCCGACCGCTCAGCAATTTCATGGAGTGCCCACGAGTTCTTGTATTGTGAGAAAGGGAGAAAAGTACCTCTTTCTCTACCTGCTCTTTCCCATGCATAATCTTATAAACCTCAGTCATGTCACCCCTCAGTCGTCGTTTCTCCAAGCTAAAGAGCCCTAAGTGCCTTAACCTTTCCTCATAGGGAATGTTAACCCCTGCCTATGGAAAACTAGCATGCCATGGAGAATGTTTTCCTAATGTGCTAGCCTTCTGAATGTGTAGTATTTCTTTCAGTTATGTGAACTATTCTTGTAGTCTGCAGTTGTCCAACCCAGACAGAGGTTTCTCACCCCTGTCAGAACTGAGCCTGAGTGTAAACTTTGAGGGAGGAAAAGGAAGCTTTTCCTGGTTTCCCACAGAGATGACTAAGGTCATGTTCATGGCGTGTATGATTGGAGTAAAAATGTGGATCTCGTGGTACCTCCCACAGGCTTTGATAGCTGAGAGACTGTGACTGCGATCACACACACTAAATAATTCACTTTCAATGCACTTTCCAACTGGATTTTGCCAGTTCACACAGGCTGATTCTGCATTGGCTTTCCCCTCCGTTGTTTTACGAAACCCGCGTTGGAACATAAAATCCCCTCTGCATTCCTTGCTGGTTTCACTTCCCTTGGTTATTGGGTTTGATGGCAGCGTCCACGCTCCATGCCACTTCCAAGTTCTTTGAACATCAGATTTAATTGCACCTTCTGCATTATGGCCGTTTTGTGGCCATTCGGGGGTGACTCTGCAGTCAGTATAGCGTTGCCCCGAGGTGTTTGGATGTGGTTTTGAGCTGCACTTTTTCCTCCCGGTTGAGAAAACGTGGACCAAATGCTAGATGCACAATCACCCACGATCCAGTTGTAGAGTGCACTGAAAGTGGATTGGAAGTGGATCACTTCATGTGTGTGACCGCAGCCTGTATCTAGATAACACAGAGCAAGTTTCTGGTCTGCGTGAGGGAAACACGATCTGGCTTTACCATCAGCGGAACCTAAAAGCACGTTGACTTTCGACTAATGCTTAAGGCCGTGCAGTGCAGCAGCCACTCACCTCGGGCTTCTCTTTCCCCGATAGTCTCAACTGGGGCAATATCCGAGATCAGCTGGATCAGTTTGCGGCGATCGCGAGCGCCTCGAAAGGGGGCAGGATCCGAATCGATGAGTTTGCCAGCCACTTGAAACTGCCCGTTTCCGACGTCCTCGAGGAACTGTTTACACTCTTTGACAGGGTAAGGCTTCTTCCCCACTCCCCTCCTCCACGTGAAACTGAAAAGATGATTCTGCAAAGCTAAGCTTAATAAAATATCAGTCCGAAAATCAGGCGCCTGGCTGACGGAAAAGGTCACACCTTGCGAGGTGAATAAGGGATGGGCCAAAAGGCAGGGCCCTGGCCTGGATGGCCCCGGCTAGCCTGATCTCGTCACATCTTGGAAGCTAAGCAGGGTCGGTCCTGGTTAGTATTTGGATGGGAGACCACCAAGGAGGGCCACGGTTGCTGTGCAGAGTCAGGCAGTGGCAAACCACCCCTGAACGTCTCGTCCCTTGAAAACCGTACAGGTTCAGGGTAAATTGGATGAGACTTGGTGGCACTTCCCAGCACCATTTACATGTTGATAGGGTTATGCAGTGCGCGAATGGATTAAAATGAGGCACTTAACTGATCGTTGTTTCCTAAGAAATGACAGAAATGGAGAAGTAACCCCAAGAGGGGACTGAAAAGTTGAAATGTACTTTTCCGGTTTGGAAGTGCCCACCAGTAACTTGAGAATGCCCCTGTATTACTTCCTTTCCACGTTATTACTGGAACACTTCAACACTGAAGAGCCCCAAACAAAGGGCTATGCCCCAGGCCCGTAGCTATGGTGGGCCTTTGGGGGGGCTCTGCCCCCTTTCTTAAAGGCACGGCTCCACAAGAATTTCTCCTGTAAATGCTTTTTTCCAGTCATTTTAAAACATTTTTTAAAGACGTGTGCTCCTTTAAGCAGAGTGGGGTGCTGTATTTGACTAATTCCGGCACTGAGCAAGGGGGTTGCAGTAGGTGACCTCTAGGATCCCTTCTAACTCTGCGTCAAGGAACTGGTCTCCTTGAAGATAGTTTTTCTGCCTAAGTGTTACTTTTCTTGACTCTAGAAGTCATCACCCCCACCTGCTGGCTTGTCATCAGAGCTGTTGCTTAGGCTGGCCGAAGTGATTAACTTGCAGCAGCTGAGAACTGTCATCTGAAGTGGTTGACCACTTTGCAATTTAGAGATCTATCCTGGTAAAGTTTTCTGTGTTTTTCATACAAGTCGGACTGAGTTTACCGGCCAGACCCAGATGAGTATTTCCAGGGCCACACCTACCATCTACCAGAAAATTTATTCTCCCTCTTCCCCCCCGCCCCCGCCCCTTTCTCAGCCTTCTATTGTCACTCCCTGGGGCTAAGATCCGCAGAAGCCTGTGTGCTTTGTTTTTAAAAGGCTCGATTCCACAGTAGCTGAGTCATAATCCTCAGAACTCTGGCTTTTCTTTCTGCACTGAGAACTTCAGCCCCACCAGGGGGGAAAAATGCCCCACAAGCCACAAAACCCTAACTAGAGGCCTGATATGCCCTGACCTTTGATGACCCAGTCTAGCCCAATCTTGTCAGATCTCGGAAGCTAAGCAGGGTCGGCCCTGGCTAGTACTTGGATGGGAGACCACCCAGGAAGTCAGGGCTGCTATGCAGCCAATGGCAAACCACCTCTGTTCATCCCTGCTTTGACCTGGGTGGCCCAGGGCAGCCCGATTTCATCAGATCTTGGAAGCTAAGCAGGGTCGGCCCTGGTTAGTACGTAAATGGGAGACCACCAAGGAAGTCCAGGGTTGCTGTTACCTGCAAGCCACCTCTGTTTGTCTGTATCCTCACCTGGATTGCTCAGGCAAGCCCAGTCTCATCAAATTTCAGAAGCTAAACGAGATCGGCTCTGCTTAGTATTTGGACAGGAGACCACCAAGGAAGTGCAGGGTCGTCACGTGGGGGCCGGCAGTGGCAAACCACCTCTGAACATCTCTTGCCATGGAAAACCCCCAGAGGTTGCCATAAATTGGCTGCGACGTGATGGCAGTTCCCACCTCCACCAAAAGGCAGGACCAAACGAGGCAGCCAAGAAACATTACAGCTGCAGGAACACAACACGGAGAATGAGTTTTTCTCTCACAGTTAGCAACAGGCGTGGTCTTTCACCCGCTGTGGATTCCAGCTGTGCAAGACGTGTATGGGCAGGTGAATTTTAATTGCCCTGGCGGATATGTGGCTTTGGAAGCTCACACCCTGCTCTGCTCTGCTCAGACACCCTTGGAGACTTTGAAAGGTACAGAGCTTTCTGCTTGCTTCAACAATCTCTCGGCACCCTCACCATGTTCCTCGCTGAGGCTTTGCTAAAGGCCGCCACTGGAGGAGGTGGTGGTGGTGGCAGCAGCAGCAGCGGCGGTGGCAGCAGCAGCGGTGGTGGTGGTGCCGGAGGGGCCCTGGTCAGAGGCCTCGGAAGCCTCTTGGCAGGGGGTTCAGGCGGCAACAAAGGAGGGAACCTTGCCGGGTTTGTCGGCGGCCTCGTGAACATAATCAGCGAGGCGGCAGCTCAGTATACCCCCGAGCCGCCTCCGGAGGCCCGGAGCCATTACGCCAACGTGGAGGCCAGCGAGAGCGAGGAGGTCCGCCAGTTCCGCCGCCTCTTTGCTCAGCTGGCTGGCGACGACATGGAGGTGTGCCCCACGGAGCTGAGGAACATCCTGAACAAGGTGGTGGCCCGGCACCAAGACCTGAAGAGCGCGGGGTTTAGCCTGGACACGTGCCGAAGCATGGTGGCCGTCATGGACAGTGACACGACGGGCAAGCTGGGCTTCGAGCAGTTCAAGTACCTGTGGAACAACATCAAGAAGTGGCAGTGCGTCTACAAGCAGTACCGCTCGGACACATCGGGGGCCATTGAGAGGCCTCGCCTGCCGGCCGCTTTCAAAGCCGCGGGGTTCCGCCTGCACGAGCAGCTGCACGCCCTGATCGTACGCCGGTACACCGACGAGGAAGATGGCAGCATGGATTTCAACAGCTTCATCGGCTGCCTGGTGCGCCTGGACGGCATGTTCCGGGCCTTCAAGGCCCTGGACAGGCGTGGAGATGGGAAGGTCCAGATGAACATTGAAGACTGGCTGCAGCTGACCATGTATTCTTGAAGCTGCACGGCTGGCGTTGCAGAATACAGGATGTTCGGGGCAGGTGTGAACTGCAGGCGGCATCTTTGGGCTAAATAGTTAGTGCCTCCTGGGCCAGTCCCTTTTAGTTTAACTCGGGGAAGGGGGAGCGCTCGTTTTAGTCTCTCCCCCCCCCTCTGTAATATATCCTGTTTTGCTGGAAGAGCCAGCTTTGAGTCCAACAGCACCTTCAAGACCAACCAGATTTCCAGATTTCAAGAGTCAAAGCTCAGACTCCACCGGATACAAATAGGTCTAAGCAGTGTTCCCTCTAAGCTGAGTTAGTGTGAGCTAGCTCACAGTTTTTTAACCTCCGGCTCACACAGTTTTGTCTCAGCTCAGGAAGGATGGCTCCAGAGCAAACTAATGTATGTAGTAGCCAAATTGCCTGCTCACAAATTCAATGGCTGTGGCTCACCAAGTAGAATTTCTGCTCACAAGATTCCACAGCTTAGAGGGAGCATTGGGTCCAAGTGACCTGTGACTCTCGAAAGCTTATACCGTGGGAATCTTGTTGGTCTCTAAAGTGCTCCCGGACTCGAATCTGGCTGTCCTACTTCAGGCAAAATTATTTTGTTAGATGTTCCTTTGGAATGGTACAGCTCACCAGCGCCTAGTTTAGAAACAACTGTACCATGTTACATGCCAGTACAGATTTCTTGTGCGTGCACGGTGCTATGTGTCGGAGCAATTGCCAAAAGCATGTTGAAAATGTTACTCGGGCAGATTTCTGGGCGTGGAACGTCTGCCTTTTGAGTGTTGTACGCGATTGCATGAATACTCTCTGGGTATGGAGGGCTTTTTTGGGGAGGGGGGTCAAACAGACAAAGCCGGGCTTCGCTTGCACAATGCGTTTGATTAGTAACTGCATTATTTTGCCCGGGGATGGGTTTGAATCTTAAGCGGGCGCTGGCACAATAGGTATGTTTGACTGAGCAAGGAGGACCTCAGTGAAAAAGAGAATAAACCTGGATCATTATCAGTGCAAGGCTTGTGGTGGTTCGTGGAGTTCTTTTGTAGCAGGGAGTGGGAAGGCAATGCTGTATCTCGGAAATCACAAACATTGCAGGACAGGGTTAGGAGGGCGCTGGAGGCAACAAGTCAGACTGCAGTTCCTATTGGGGGGGGTAGAACACCTTCTGTAAACTAGCACAGTTTGCAAAGAACTTTTCTTCTCGATATGCTGATTTTCAGCTTGAAAGTCAGGCGTCCTGTCTTTTCCTTCCAGTGTCTTCATTATTTCTTTTATCCTCCACTCCCCGAGTCCCCAAGTCTGTTCAGTTTTCAGGTACAGACTATTAGCCAGTTCTGTCGATTTATTTTATTTTCTTCTCTACATGTATTCTCCACTTTTCTCTCCAGTGGCGGCCCACAAGAGAGCCAGTTTGGTGTAATGGTTAAGAGCGCGAACTCTATTCTGGGAGAACCGGGCTTGATTCCCCGCTCCTCCACATTCAGCTGCTGGTGTGACCTTGGGTCAGTCACAAGTTCTTTCAGAGCTGTTCTCTCAAGGGCAGTCCTCGAAAGAGCTCTCTCAGCCCCACCTCCCTCACAGGGTGTCTGTTGTAGGGAGGGGAAGTGAAAGGAGATGGTAAGCCGCTCTGAGACTCCTTTGGGTAGTGAAGGGCAGGCTATAAATCCAATCTCTTCTTCTACATTTTTTTCTAATTATAGCTTTGAAGGAGGTTCTTCAGTTTGCTTTTTCAGACCCTACACAAAAAATTTTGTGCATGAGCGGAATGGAATGTGCAGAGGATGAGTCATGCAGTCTTGGCAAATCCATTCCCCTTATCTCTTTTTGTTTGAATCCACCTATTTTCATGGCTCATCTCCCCCACCCAGCACAGCAACGCCCTTGTCTGCTTTCTTATTGTTGTAGGTTTCACTTTTGGAGTGACTGTGCTTGAATAACTACAGCTAGGTTGTAAGAGTGCAAATCCATGCTCCCTGGCAATGCATAGGGGGCTGGAACACCACTGAGGCGGTAGCTGTAGGATCTCACTCGCCACAGCTGAGGAAACGTCCTGCGATTCCCCCTGAAATGACCTCTGGGACCACCCCATCTTCTGACAGATCCCTGTTTTTCAGAATCTGCATTTCTAGGAATGCTGTGAGTTTCATATTGAACAAGTTTGGTAGCCAGACTTCACTTTTTGACTGTGACAGTCAGAAATCTATCAATGCACCAGCACTGTGTTGCACACTGAGGGCACGTTCAGACGGGCCATTTGAGCCGGTATACATGTCGGTTAGAAACGGACTATTTACGTGCGATCACACGGCCAACATCTGCCTCCCATCCCCAACCCCCTTTAAACCGGAGTGTTTTGCTACCAGGTCCCCAAGTGGTGTTTTCCCGCTGCTCTGGTTCTAGCCGTATTTTCCCCCTATGTGAGCACTCCTCCACCGGTGTAGAGCCACTTCCTGTTCCCCACTCAAAAGCTGCCCAAGGCTTCCGCTTTTCGCCCGCTTTTTTTAAAAAAAATTTTAAGCGTCGGCGATATGCGCTTGGGTGGAGCTTCGCCCCGGCGTTAATAAAACCAAAGTTTAAACGGTGCCTAGTTTTGCTGTATGGACGAGTTCAGGATCTCAGGGAGGTAAAAGTGGTTTCGGGGTAAAAGTATAAAGGGAAGTGTTCCTTTAACGTTTAAAGGGAAGCGTCACGGCAGTTGGGTTGAAGGGAAAATCGCTGTTCTGTGCACGCGCGAAAATTTCGATTCTAAAGATGGCCGCCCGTGCGCATGCCCAAACTGAGAGGGAAAAAACCTGTGTGGACGGCGGAGAGTGATGTGGCTGCGCAGCGATCCGGAACAAGGAGGTGAGTGTGATCGCGATTCTTCCAGGTTAAAAAAAAGCGCATCGGACCGGAGCAATTTACACTGCTCCTGGCACGCCATCTGACCACACCCTGAATGACTCTAACATCTGCCAAACAGGTTTACATTAGGTGTCTTTTTTTTCCAAATTGCCCGTGTGCACAACTGAGGCTGATCCAAACATTTTGCGTAGTTAAGAACATCAGGGGGTCTTTCCCATTACATTAAAAATCCACTTGCATCACCCAATGTAAACGTGCATGTTTTTTTTCTTGTGTTCAAACAGCTTCATAAACAACCCAGAACTCTCTCATATCTCCCCCCCTCTCTCTGGTCTGGTCTCTGCCTCTCTCCCCAGCCTGAGCCGAGATCATGTCATCCTCTTCAATACCAAGGCCAATAAAGGTGCCCATAAATTTTCTTTTGTGCATCAGCTACTGTGCTTTACACAAGAGTAAATGGGGCTACTCTCATGTAAAGAAGGCAGAGTGAACCAGGCTGCTGGAATGCTCCAGCACTTCAAGGCATGTGCAAAGAAACCCCCCACAAAAAACAACAACAATGAACAGATGGAACTCAAGTCTGAATGGATTTCACTGACAGCACGGTCATCAGAAGCGGCACAACACGTGTGAAAACACAGAAGGTGGCTGCGGTCTGAAAACCCCCCATCACAAGAGTCCTGCTGGATCAGAGCAGTGGTTCTGATCTCACACAGTGGCTAACTAGATCCTCTGTAAGCCAGGATTTTGTGACTTGTGTGGCATTTTCTTTTCTGGTGGGGCTGAAGTTCTCAGTGCAGAAAGAAAAGCCAGAATTCTGAGGATTATGATTCAGCTACTGTGGAATCAAGCATTTTTAAAATCAAAGCATAGAGGCTTCTGAAAATCTTAGCCTCAGAGTGTGACAACAGCAAGCTGAGAAGTGGGGGGGGGGGAGAATAACTTTTCTGGTAGATGATAGGTGTGGCACTGGAAATACTTATCTGGGTTTGGCCAGTAAACTCACTCCATTTTGTATAAAAACACATAAAATTTTACTTACAAAAACAAAGGACAAACAACACATAGATGGGGAAAGAATGTATACAGTTCAGCGAGGAATGCAAAACAAAACAAAAAACCTAGCTGGTTATTCTATTCACTACTTTTGCTATCAGGTCCGTAGCTCTGGCATCTCAACTGACATTCCTGATGAGCAGAGTCTCTGGAAGCATAGCAGCAGGGTGGAAGTTGAAGAGAGCTTCAAGGCAGTCTCTTCTCTCTCTGAGTCTTCTCAAGCTGTCTATTCTACATAGGTGTTCTTAACCATTTAGTCAATAGAAAGCTGTTACCAGGATAGATCTCTAAACTGCAAGCGGTCAACCACTTTAGATGACCGTTGTCAGCTGCTGCAAGTTAATCACTTCTGCCAGCCTAAGCAACAGCTCTGATGACAAGCCGGCAGGTGGGGGTGATGACTTCTAGAGTCAAGAAAGGTAACGCTTAGGCAGAAAAACTCTCTTCAAGGAGACCAGTTTCTTGACACAGAGTTAGAAGGGATCCTAGAGGTCACCTACTCCAACCCCCTTGTTCAGTGCCGGAATTAGTCAAATACAGCACCCCACTCTGCTTAAAGGGGTGCATGCCTTTAAAAATATTTTTAAATGACTGAAAAAGGCATTTACAGGAGAAATTCTTGTGGGGCTGTGCCTTTAAGAAAGGGGGCAGAGATCCCCAAAGCCCCACCTGGGCTGAGACCTTCCCCTGGTGTTGACTCCAGGCTCTGGGATTCAGAGTTTTAGTGCCTCTGAATGTGGAGGTTCCCCTCAGTCACCAGGGCTAGTAGCCATTGATAGACTTATCCTCTATGAATCTACCTAATCCCCTTTGAAAGCTATTTATTTTGGTGGCCATCACACATCCTCTGGCAGCGAATTCCACATTCTAATCACTCCCTGTGTAAAGTCGTAGTTTAAAGTAGTTCTTAGTGATATTCATGGCAGCCAGGCACGGAATGGTGGTAGAAATAGTAGTTGGGTTTTTTGCAGCATCTATGATTGATTTGTATGATTTGTGACGAATTTAACTATCTGTTGGAACAACTACTTGCCAAGTGGAGCAGCGGCACAGTGGGGACGGGTGGGATAGAACTCGTGTGTGCATGAAAAGCCAGTTGCCCTGTTAAGAAGGGGCAGCCACAAATGGATTGACAAACTGTCAGAAATCTGGCTCCCTCTTTGCGGGTGTCAAATAGGATATGAGCATCCCTGAACATTCCGGTTTCCCTTCTCCATTGAATGGTGCAGGAATCCAAACTAACAATCAAAGTCACGGTGGTGGAATTTTCACTTTGTTGCATTCACGTGAAAGGGCCATTGAGAGTTTGGACGCACCTGTACTTCAATGATGTCACTCTTTGGAGGACTGTTAGAGTCGAGTCCAGTAGCACCTTAGAGAAGGGGGCTGCGGTGGCTCAGGGGGTTAAGAGGCTGAGCTGCAGGCCGGAAGGTCGGTAGCTCAGCAGTTCGAGACCTGAGTGCCGCATGACGGAGTGAGCTCCAATCTCTGGTCCCAGCTCCTGCCAACCTAGCAGTTTGAAAGCAAGAAGTTGCAAGTAGATAAATAGGTACCGCTTCAGTGGGAAGGTAATAATAATAATAATAATAATCTTTCAATTTATTGATCACTCAGTCCTGCAGAGTTTGCTGGCTCTGAGCGATTTACAGTTACTCATTTTTCACGAGGGACTAACAATGCTTTGTGGGGTAAGGGAGGACAACATATATACATCTTAATTGCACACATTCACAGCCGACGAGGGTTTCGTTCAGATGCAGATGAGACGTGATCCGGAACGGCGTTTTTCCTCGGCCGAGTTTGATGGCGTCAGCTTTTCTCCAGACTCCTTGAGTTGTAGCGCCACACTGCCATCGCCTGTCCGGACGGCCCATTACAGGCTTTTTTCTTCACGCCGAGAAGATCTCTCTAGGCTTTCCATCATGCGAGCCGTTCCGTGTGCCCTGGCATCTAGTCATGCTGGCCACATGATGGCGGAAATGTCTTGGACAGCGCTGGATCTTCAGCTTGGAAACGGAGATGAGCACTGTGTCCCTAGAGTCGGATTCGACTGGCTTTCGAGCAAGGGAAACCGTTACCTAGAACTGTAGAGACCAGGAGTCAATGCTTCCTTCGTCAGATACCATGGCCCAGGTCTTCAGATCTAGTCTCCAGAGAGGCCTTCTCTTGGCTGTGGTCAAAAATGCCCAAATGTCACCACCTGGCTCCCTCTCCCTCTCAAACAAATGAGTTGAGCAAAGAAATAAGAACAGAATGGGGGGATCACGTGGTGCAGCTGTTCCTGGACTGTGCCGTATGGGATGTGGGTCGGAGAGCCCATTCTTGAATGTGCCTTTTAAAAGGGGGGCTTCCTTTTGCACTTAGAAAAGCAAAATGTTCCCAAGAAGACCACCATCCTGCTCCCGGGTTAATCAATGGCTGCCTTTTCCTTCCTTTTAGAATGGAGATGGCACCATAGACTTCAGGGAATATGTGATCGGTTTGTCTGTTTTATGCAATCCTGCCAACACAGAAGAAACTATTTACATGGCCTTTAAGGTAAGCATGTGGCCTGTCCACAGCCGAGCTAAAGTAACAATCTCCTGTCAGAGCAGTGCTGTCTTCTCCGATCAGCTTCCCTTAACTCTTGCATTGCCTACCTACAGCCTGAATTTCCGGAATTAATGTAGAATAGCCAGGAGATCCTAGGATTATCCGGCAGCCGCAAGTTCTGTCTCTTAGTGTTGTGCTAGTGATGAGCCAGACTAGTTTTTAGGGGCTGAGAGAGCTCTGAAAGAACTGTGACTGGCCCACAGTCACCCAGCTGGCTTCACATGGAAGAGTGGGGAATCGAACCCAGTTCTCCAGATTAGAGTCCACCACTCTTAACCACTGCACCAAACGGGCTCCCAGAAGTCCCAGATCGAAGAGCAGATGCTTATGTGAAAAGAATCAAGAGCTAGTGTAATATTTCTGGGTGCTCCCCAGAGCAGAATTGCACATTATTGGTCGTGGCTTAAAATTGCATGTGTTCAGTGATGGAGCATCTCCTTTGCATGGAGAAGGTCCCAGGGTTAGTCCCCAGCATCACCAGGTCAAGGGTTTCAAGTGTTGTGGTGAATGGGCTTTCTCCTGCTGAGGCCCTGCAGAGATGCTGCCACTCCGAGCAGACAATACTGACACAGATTCATGGGTGAGACAGATTCATGTGTGGCAACTCACACCGTCACATCCTCTCCCTGGTCCAGAGACCCAGTGTGGTGTAGTGGTTAATTGTGCAGACTCTAATCTGGGAGGACCACGTTTGATTCCCCACTCCTCCACGTGCAGCTGCTGGTGCAACCTTGGATCATTCACAAGTTCTCTCAGAGCTGTTATCTCAAGAGCAGTCCTCAAAAAAGCTCTCTCAGCCCCACCTACCTCAAAGGGTGTCTGTTGTGGGGAGGGGAGGGGAAGGAGTTTGTAAGCCACTCTGAGACTCCAACTGAAGGGCGAGGTATAAATCCAATCTCCTCCTCCTTTTGTAATGTCCAGCATAATATTATTCTCTCGCTCGGCTTCACTAGGTGTCAGTCTTTTTGGAGGGAGGGGGCACTTTTATTTCTAGAACTCACTTTGTAACTGTACAGGATTAAGCCCCTCAAGCCAGTCCAGGGGTGAGAGGTAATCCTGTACTTTTGCAGTACATTAAACCCTCTCTGGTTTCAGAACAATATGCCACCAGAACCTCTACATTAGTTCCCCCCCCAAACCTGAGATTAGAGGTTCAAACTCTCATCTTATATCTGGAATTTAACACATTAGCAACTCACTCAGAGCTGCACACTTTACGCTTAATGGTAGCTTGTGGTCAGTTTAGGCACAGGAGTTTAGACTTGGTAAATATGTATCTTTTACTGTGTAGTTAAGGCAAATCACCTTAGGCTTGTTATTTTGGTAAACTTTGGTAGTCTGTGTTAAGCTTTGTTAAGCTCTGTACTGAATAAAAAATTATTCTTGTTTCTAAATGGCCTCTGATGTTGTACCTGAGTTCTATACAGTAACACATATTCATTATAATGAGATTTGTTTTAAAAAAATGGTAATTTGTACAGGTGCTTTTAATGACAAGCAGTGAGACTCCTTGGAATGTCAAAGAGGAAAAACACACTTTGACTGGGGTGTAAATATGCCAAGACTGCATATGAGCCAGAATGGCGTAGCTCTTGAGAGTGTCAAACTAGGACTTGGATTGAGCCATGAAGCTCTCTTGGGCCATTTACTGTCCTGGCTGGCCTACATCACAGTTTTATTCCATCTCATTCTTTTTCCAGCTCTTTGACCTTGACGATGACGGTGTTATAACAGAAAATGAATTTGCCTCTGTCGTACAGTCATCCCTTGGACTTCCTGACCTCGATGTCTCTAAGCTCTTTAAGGAAATAGATGCTGACAAGACTAATAAGCTCTCTTATGGTGAGTGCAACTTTGTTGAGCTGTCATGGCTTCCTGCACGACAGCATGAGGACAATGGTGGTATTTCAGAGTTTGGATTGTAGACCAGGATGGGTTTAAATCCAGCCCATCAGCCATGAGCCTTGGGCTAGTCACTTTCAGTCTGACCCACTTTACAGAGTTCTTGTGAAGGCAAAACGGGGGGGAGAACATGTATGCCAGTTTGGTGTAGTGGTTAGGAATGTGGACTCTAATCTGAGTCCACACATGATTCCCCACTCCTCCTCCTCCTCATGCAGCTGCTAGCGTGATCTTGGATCAGTCATAAGTTCTCTCAGAGCTGTTCTTTCAAGAGCAGTCCTCGAAAGAGCCTCTCTCAGCCCTACCTACCTCACAAGGTGTCTGTTGTGGGGAGAGGAAGGGAAAGGAGATTGTAAGCCGCTCTGACACTCCTTCGGGTAGTCAAGGGTGGGGTATAAATCCAATCTCTTCTTTCTTCATCTCCATCTCTTCATCATCTTTCTTCATCTTGGGGAAGGGTAAGTTTTTAAAAGAGTTGGGTCGATTCCTTCATTTTCACCGTAGAACTCCCAGAGTTCCTTAGGGTACCCACGAGAAGTCAGTTCCCTGAAACCAAAGCGGACCAAACTTGTAATTTGTTTTACTGTGTTTCTGGCATACGCTTTGCACAGTGTTTAAAAAATAACTTTGGTTGTTGTTGTTGTTGTTTTTAAAAATTCCAGAGGAGTTCAAAGACTTTGCCCTCAAACACCCCGAATACGCCAAGCTATTTACCACCTACCTTGAGCTACAGCGATGCCAAGTGGAGATGCAGTCGGAAGTTAACGACAACACACCCCCTCCAAAAACTCCAATCTCGAAAAAGATCTCAGGCCCAAAGAATAAAATCTACCCTCAGAACAGCGAAGACGACAATTCGGGCGCCTCGGACAAAAAGGATGACTGAGCCACAGTGACTTTCCCCCCCCCAAAAAATATAACCTCCTCAAGGATTTCGTTTTTAAAAACAACCGAATGCTCGGCAAGTTGGTCACAGAAAGCAAAGGGGGGGGGGAATTAACTGCTTTTTAAATAATTTTATGTATCAAAGTTGCTTTTTTTAAATTAATAAATTATTACTTTTTGCCACATAGGCTGTGTTCAGTAAGGAATGTGGCCCCCTCGGTGCCAGAACGCCTGCGTCAAAGTGAAACGTGGCACAATCTTTGCTTTCTTTCGTGAACATTTTTTTTTTTTAATTTGCTTCAAGGCAGAAGTTTCTGCACAGTTACAGACTTGTTTCTGGACTAGCAAGCAGAATTTTCTCGACTGGGATCAAACCTGTTTGAAGAACTGAGCTTAAAGATCTCAGGGTTTGAATAAGCCTGGGCCTTGCCCTTTTTTGGGAACGGTCAGTGCGGGGAAACGGAATCAGCCATGTCCCTTTCTCACTCCACTGCTCATTTTTCCGCCCTTCTTCCCGCACACACACTTCCCGTTTCCCAGTCTGGGTCTGTGCCTTTCTTTAGTTCTATTTCTGTTCATTGCGGAGTAGATGGCTGAACAGCCATCTTGTTTGCTACTTGACTGGCCGTTGGATGACTTCTTGGAGAAGTGGGAAGGAAGGACAAGTGCAGTTGTCTAGGGGAAGCTAACTGGGTTGTCTCATCCTTTCTAGTTCACACTGGAAGTGAGTCGGAGAGCGTGCCTCCTAGGGAACTGTGTCTTCCCCATCCCGAAATGGGCAGTAAACCTGGCAGCCAGTCCTTTGCAAATGCAGCCAACTAAGCAGAGGCCTCAACATGCTGCCCAGTGATTGGATCAGCCCTGAAAATGACCACCACTATTTGATCTTCAGCGTCTTTCAACTTGTGATTGTTCCAACATTCCTGGACTCTTTCTGTTTTCAAGCTGGTAGTGTGCCCTTTGGAAGCAGCCATCCTTTCTGAAAGGCTAGCAAGCAGTGTTCCCTCTAAGCTCAGTTAGTGTGAGCTAGCTCACAGTTTTTTAGCCTCCAGCTCACAGATTTTTGTCTTGGCTCAGGAAGGATGGCTCCAGAGCAAACTGATTTATGCAGTAGCCAAATCGCTCACTTACAACTTTAATGCCAGTAGCTCACAAAGTAGAATTTTTGCTCTCAAGACTCCACAGCTTAGAGGGAACATTGCTAGCAAGTTCTATGACTTTGGTGATGGAAAGTCCCATTAGTCACAGTTGACTTATGGTGACCCTGTAGGGTTTTTTCAAGGCAATAGAGTTCGGAGGTGGTTTGCCATTGCCTGCCTCTGCATATCTACCCTGGACTTCCTTGGTGGTCTCCCATCCAAGGACCAACCAGGGCTGAACCTGCTTAGCTTCCGAGGTTCGGTGAGGGCTAGCCTGGGCTACAGGGGCTGTGGTGACTCCAGGGGTTAAGATGCTGAACTGCAGACCGGAAGGATGATAGTTCAGCAGTTCAAGACCCGATTGCCACAAGATGGAGTGAACGCCCATCTCTGGTCCCAGCTCCTGCCAGCCTCACAGTTCGAAAGCAAGTAAACTGCAAGTAGATAAATAGGTACCGCTTCGGTGGGAAGGTAACAGCATTCCATGTAGCTTGGCATCTAGTCATGCCAGCGACGTGACCACGGAAACGTCTTCGGACAGCGCTGGCTCTTTGGCTTGGAAACAGAGATGAGCACTGCGCCCCTCGAGTCGCATTCGACTGGCTTTCGAGCAAGGGAAACCTTTACCTTTACTTTTAGCCTGGGGAAGGGAAATGAATGCAGAAGCACAGAAATGTTTTGTGGCTTTCCTAACTGTCTCTCTGCGTATTCTAAGGGGAGCTTTGTTGAATGTGGAGGGGCCACGGCTCAGTGGTAGAGAATTGGCTTTGCCTGCAGCAAGTCCCAGATTCAGTTTCCGGCATGTCTTCTTTAAAACGGTCAGGTAGTAGACCTTCACCTGAGACCCTGGAGAGCCACTACCACTTAGAGTAGACAACACCGCCCGTAACAGACCAATGGTCTGACTTATTGATAAGCAGCTTTGTGTGTTCATGTAAGTTGCCAGTGACCGTCTGTGGTGTCATGGCTCCTGAGAACTTACCATTTGGGTGACTGTAACCGTACAGAAGTTCAGACGCCCCATTTTGATGTCTCATCTGCACGAGAACGGTTGCAAGATGTCTTGGTGTGAGTCGATCCCTTCCTGTCAAAATCGATTTAACGACCACACGAAGTGTCATGCGTGTGAGCTGCTCGGTAGGACAGGAGTACCCGTGCCCCCTTCTACTGTGCAGAGGGGATCACCGGTTGAAGAAGGACACAGTCAAGCCTGTAGTGGTGCTTGTTGTCCTCACGGTCAGGGAGGTTGGGAAGAGGCTGGTGTCCACTCAGGGGAATTAGATCTTGCCAAGCCATAGGACAATAGCCTCGATCTCTGCCAATTTCTACAAAGTTCCGAATTACTACATGAATGCCCGTCTGCTCCTTTACCCGGTATAAAGTGCATTTTCCTTGGGAGTTTACGCAAGATTGCTGTTAGAAGTAGAAACAAATTATTATTATTTTTAATCCATTCTCTCAGGTGGGTAGCCTTGTCGGTCTGCAGATTTCAAGTCCAGGAGCACTTCAGAGACCGATTTCCAGGGTAGAAGCTTTCAAGGACAGAGAAAGAGAGAAGATATTGGATTTATGCCCTGCCCTTCACTACCCAAAGGAGTCTCAGAGCAGCTTACAACCGCCTTCCCTTTCTCTCCCCACAACAGAGGTCGGTGGGGCTGAGAGAGCTCTCTCGAGGACCGCTCTGGAGAGCTCTGAGAGAACTTGTGATTGACCCAAGGTCACCCGGCTGGCTGCATGTGGAGGAGTGGGGAATCAAACCCGGTTCTCCCAGAGTAGAGTCTGTGCTTCTAACAACTACACCAAACTGACTCAAGAGCTCCCATCGTCTGACTCCCAAAAGCTTATACCCTGGAAATCACGTTGGTCTCTAAGGTGCTACAGGACTCAAGGTTTGGGATGGTTTTTTTCCTGTTTGTGTGTGTTTGGTGTTTTCAAGTTGCTTCAAACTTACAGTGACTCTCTCGTGTATGTTCCTGTTTTCCCCTGTTCCACAAATGTTGTGCTCCCTCTAGTGGTCGATTCTGGGCATGGAGCAGGGGTCATGGGGTGGGGGGAAGTAGTTGTGAATTTCCTGCAGAGTGCAGGGGGTTGGACTAGATGACCCTGGAGGTCCCTTCCAACTCTACGATTCTATGAATTAATGACCTCTAAAACAGCCTATCATTGACAGCCTTGCCCAGGCTGCACTACAACATTACAACAAGCTCTAAGTGAAGTGCAACTGGGCATGAAGAGAAGCTTCTTTGCCCCTTCTCTTTCATGTGGGTACTTCCCAACTGGATGAAGTGCAATCTTGCCATAATATCCACATGAAGTCATTTTAGCAAACTGAAGTTTTTACTCCCGAAAGGTGGGATTCTAAACTGGGATTCAGCAAGGTTTAGAATTCTTGTTTGGGGGTGGGTGAAACTCCAGTTTGTCATAGCACAGCACAGATGTCAAACTTTGTTGTTGTTGTTCAGCCGCACAGTCGAGTCCGACTCTTCGCGACCCCATGGATCAGATCACGCCGGGCCTTCCTGTCTTCCGCCGTCCTCTGAAGTTTGCTCAACTTCATGTTTGTTGCATCTATGACACTGTCTAACCATCTCATCCTTTGCTGTCCTCATCTTCTTTGACCTTCAATCTTTCCCAGCATCAGGGTCTTCTCCAGTGAGTGCTCCCTTCTCATTGGGTGGCCAAAGTATTTGAGCTTCAGCTTCATTATCTGGCCTTCCAGGGAACAGTCAGGGTTGATTTCTTTTAGGGTTGACTGATTTGATCTTCTTGCAGTCCAAGGGACTCTCAAGAGTCTTCTCCAGCACCATAGTTCAAAAGAATATTCTTCGGTGCTCAGCCTTCGTAGGAAGTTCTTAATCTGCTTCCATGCATGAAGAGCAGGTGGGTGGAGTGGAGCACAGGATCATGATAGGCGTAGATTTACTTTGGCGCCCAGTTGCAGTTTCATTGTGGTTTGTCGAGATGTCTGAACGCTGCCTTAGTGTCCAGGTCAGACCTGAACATCCAGCGATCATATGCAGTGTTCCTTCTAAGATGAGTTAGTGTGAGCTAGCTCACAGTTTTTTAGCCTCTGGCTCATACATTTTTGTCTTTGCTCAGGAAGGATGGCTCCAGAGGAAACTGATGTGTGCAGTAGCCAAATGCCGGTAGCTCACAAAGTTGAATTTTTGCTCACAAGACTCCACAGCTTAGAAGGAGCATTGGTCAGAAATCTGTTTCTCTTAGAAGGTTAGAGAGAGAGAGAGACTTATTTTGCGGTTTTATGAAGTAGTGTACTTTTTACAGATGAGGAGGCTGTGGACTTAGAGTTACATGGACATCTTCTCATGTTCTTTTATATTACTTTACACAGAGAGTGATTAAAATGTGGAATTCGCTGCCAGAGGATGTTGTGATGGCCACAGGAATAAACAGCTTTAAAAGGGGATTAGATAGATTCACAGAGGATAAGTCTCAATGTCCTACTAGCCATGGTCATTGAGGGGAACCTCCACATTCAGAGGCACTCAACCTCTGAATCCCAGAGCCAGGGGGCAACATCAGAGGAAGGCCTTGGCCTCTATCCGCTGTTGTGGGCCACTATGTGAGACAGGATGCTGGACTAGATGGACTTTTTGTCTGGTCCAGGAGGGCTCTTCTTACATTCTTATGAAAATCTCCTCTTGTATGATTCTCTGGAGACAAAGAGTGCAGTAGAAATGAACCAAAAAACACAGATGGTTTGGGAGGAACCAGCCATGCCTCCTGGGTTTGTGGATGGAAAAAATGAAGTCAGTTGCTCTTCTTAAAAGGTAGTGTCCGCTATAATCTCCAGGCAGTAATCAACATAGTGATAAATATGCTTTAAATGCCTTGTTTTCAATGCTGTTAAATACTCTTTGAGGTGTGTGTGTGTTTTTGAAGCATGTTTACATTGTGTTGTATTGTGGCTCCTGATGCCAACTCCCCTGTGGGAAGGTGTTAGCTGTCGGTTGGGACGTTCTGCTCCAGGATCGGAAGGCTACTCAGCTACAAACTACTCAGCTACAAAAACTACTCAGCTACAGTGTGTGTTTGAAGTATGTTTACATT